GGTTGATATGCCGTAAAACAAAATAAACCAAACCAATCTAAACCAAAGAATACATATTCTATTCATATGAATCTATCCTAAAAATGTTGTCGGCATTAAATAACCCATTGAGGTTGATATGACATAAAACAAAATAAACCAAACCAATCTAAACCAAAGAATACATATTCTATTCATACGAATCTATCCTAAAAATGTTGTCGGCATTAAATAACCCATTGAAGTTGATATGCCGTAAAACAAAATAAACCAAACCAATCTAAACCAAAGAATACATATTCTATTCATATGAATCTATCCTAAAAATGTTGTCGGCATTAAATAACCTATTGAGGTTGATATGCCGTAAAACAAAATAAACCAAACCAATCTAAACCAAAGAATACATATTCTATTCATACGAATCTATCCTAAAAATGTTGTCGGCATTAAATAACCTATTGAGGTTGATATGCCGTAAAACAAAATAAACCAAACCAATCTAAACCAAAGAATACATATTCTATTCATACGAATCTATCCTAAAATGTTGTCGGCATTAAATAACCCATTGAGGTTGATATGCCGTAAAACAAAATAAACCAAACCAATCGAAACCAAAGAATACATATTCTATTCATATGAATCTATCCTAAAAATGTTGTCGGCATTAAATAACCCATTGAGGTTGATATGCCGTAAAACAAAATAAACCAAACCAATCTAAACCAAAGAATACATATTCTATTCATATGAATCTATCCTAAAAATGTTGTCGGCATTAAATAACCCATTGAGGTTGATATGCCGTAAAACAAAATAAACCAAACCAATCTAAACCAAAGAATACATATTCTATTCATATGAATCTATCCTAAAAATGTTGTTGGCATTAAATAACCCATTGAGGTTGATATGCCGTAAAACAAAATAAACCAAACCAATCTAAACCAAAGAATACATATTCTATTCATATGAATCTATCCTAAAAATGTTGTCGGCATTAAATAACCCATTGAGGTTGATATGACATAAAACAAAATAAACCAAACCAATCTAAACCAAAGAATACATATTCTATTCATACGAATCTATCCTAAAAATGTTGTCGGCATTAAATAACCCATTGAAGTTGATATGCCGTAAAACAAAATAAACCCAACCTGAAATACACAAATGCAATGTGATTTAAACTTTGAGAAATACTGACTACACAGAACAAATCTCATTGCGTTATCTTGTGAATTGTCTTTGTAATATATATTTTTTTTTAAATTGTAAAGAGAATTTATGGAAACCCTGGACTTAAAAACTGAAACATATACAGTGTGTGTGTGTGTGTGTGTGTGTGTGTAGAGGTGGGAGCCAAATATTCGCCTACATACAAATCTTTGATTTATTGTATTTCTAACTAATGAATAAACATACTTTTCGTATAATTAACAGTACGCAGATGCATAATAACTAAATATGCATTTCTATGCATATTTAGTTATTATGCATCTGCATAATGAAAAAATGCATTTAATACAAATAAATTTCATTTATCCATTGTACTGTGTGAAAAAAGCATTCGTACAATGCACATTTCAGATTTTAAAACTTTTAAATTGCTTTAATTTAAGTGCAATGTTCTGTGACAGAGAGAGAGAGAGAGAGAGAGAGAGAGAGAGGGAGAGAGAGAGAGAGAGAGAGTTTGGGAAACACACACATACACAAACACGTATATTTTTTTTTAGTGAAATTGGAGTAGATTTAAATAGCGAAATTAAATCAGATTATTTTGTTTACTGATGGGGAAATCTGATCTAGGGCAGAAGTCGTACCCATTGAATCTGGGTCATCAGAAGACAATGGAAATGGTCGAAAGACTTTTTATCGATTAAAAATTGAAATAGAGCTGAGTAAGCTAGAAGGAACTTTGGAATTCACATGATTTTGGTTGAAGCAGCCAGAACCCCGTGATAATCGCGTGCAAAGTAGTAGGGCCTAGGGTCAGTTATAATCAGCCGGGTTTATCTATATAAACGCGTAGTTATGCTGAAAAAGAGAGAATTGGCCCAGGCAAGCGTTGGGAGGAGGAGCGCCACTATAACTTTAAGCCCCGCACAGAAATCTTTATCCCTCCATCGCAAGAGTCATATCTCTTTCTGAGACGATTTAACAAGTTAATCACGTACACACACACACACTCTCTCTCTGTCCAGAATCCAGTGTACGCGTTTTTATGTCAATTACTTTTCTTTAACCCGTTTCTTTTCTATACTATTCTTTCCTGCTATATAAAAGACATTAACAATTCAATCATTGAATAGTTGTTTGTCCGGCTTTCTGCAGATATTATTATTATTATTTTTTGCTGCATTCTAAATTTCTTAGCGCAGAATCTCCAGCCGTGTCTACATCTTCAGTCGACCGTGGATGGATGAATATCACTTCTGCTTTCTGGATCAAACCAAACACAACGTGGGCAGGATTAAACCAGTGGACCGGTCGAATAATCTACGGATGCTCAGGGGAC